TGACTTTTGTGCATGGTACAAGGGATCTAATTTCATTCTTCTACATATGGATATCCATTTTCCCCAGCACCATTTGTTTAAAAAGCCTGTCTTTTCTCCAACATATATTTTTGGCACCTTTGTCAAATACAGATGACTGTGTGGGTTTATCTGTCTCATATTCTGTTCCATTGGTCTTCATATCTCTCTTGATACCAATACCATGCTGTTTCTGTTATGAGAGCTCTGTAGTATAATTTCTGATCAAGTATTATGATACCTCCTGATTTGCTTTTCTTGCTCAATATTGCTTTGACTATTCTGGGTCTCTTATTCTTCCAAAGGAATTTAAAATAGTATTTTCTAGTTCTGTGAACAATGTCATTGATGTTTTTCTGGGAATTTCATTGAATCTGTATATTGCTTTTGGTAGCCTGGCCATTTTGACAGTATTAATTCTGTCTATCCAAGAACATGGGAGGTCTTTCCATCTTCTAAAATCTTCTAAATTTCTTTCTTCAGTTTTCTATCATTTTCATTGTGGAGATCTTTCATCCCCTTAGTTAGATTAATTCCCAAGTTTTTGTTTGTTTTTTTTTAGGTTATTTTGAATTGGATGGTTTTTCTGATTTTTTTTCTCAGTAGACTCACTGTTGGAGTGCAGAAAAGCTATTGATTTATGAGTGTTGATCTTGAATCCTCCTATTTGCTGAAAAGCTTTTTTTTTCAATTAAGTGTGATGTTGGTTTTGAGTTTGTCATACATAATCTATTTTGTGTGTGTGTGTGTGTGTGTGTGTGTGTGTTGGGGGGCTGCTGGGGACTGAACCCAGGGCCTTGTGCCTACAAGACAATCACTCTACCAACTGAGCTATGTCCCCAGCCCCAAGTTTGTATATATAATCTTTAGGTTGGGGTAGGTTCCTTCAATCCCCTTGTTTTTAACATGAATGGTGCTGTATTTTACCGAAGGCCTTTTCTAGATCTATCAAGATGGTCATATGATTCTTGTTCTTAATTATATTTAAGTGGTGAATTATATTCGATGTGTTGTAAGTTGAACCAACTGAAGTGAAGTGAAGCCACCTTGGTCATGGCATATTATCTTTATAATATACCACACGTTTTTAAAAAATATTTTTAATGTAGATGGACACAATACCTTTATTTTATTTACTTATTTTTTTATGTGTTTCTGAGGTTTGAACCCAGAGCCTCACACATGCTAGGCAAGTGCTCTCCCACTGAGCCACCACTCCAGTCCCATTTGAAAGCAGTTTGCTAATATTTTATTAAGGATCTTTTGCATCTATATTTATCAGGGAGAATCCATCAGGTCCTGGGTTCTTCTTGGTTGGAAGGCTTTAACTTCTGTTTCAATTCCATTACTTGTTATTGATCTATTTAGGTTTTCTGTATCTTCCTGTTCCAATTTGGGCAGGTCATATGTGTCTAGAAATTTGTCAATGTCCTCTACATTTTGCAGGTGATTGGAGTATGAATTTTAAAATAGTTTCTAAGGATCCTCCGGGTTTCAGAAGTGTCTGTGCTGTATCTCTTTTTTCATCTCTAATTTTATTGACTTGGGTCTCTCTTTTGGTTAGTTTGGTTAAGGGCTCATCTGTCTTATCTTTTCAAAGAACCAACTCTTTGTTGCAGTAATAATGCATATTTTTTTCTCAATTTCATTAATTTTGGCTCTGATTTTAATTATTTCCTGGCTTCTACTAATTTGGGACTTAGTTTGTTCTTCTTTTTCCAAGGCCTTGAGGTGAAGCATAAGCTTATTTATTGGAGATCCGCTCTGTTGTTGTTGTTGTTGTTGTTTTTAATCTAGGCACTCAATGACATGAAGTTTCCTCTTAGTGCTGCTTTTATACTGTCCCAGAGACTTTTATATGTTGTATTTGTGTTCTCATTTGTTTCTAAGAATTTCTTCTCTCATTTCTTCTTTGATCCATTCTCTAATTAAAAGAATATTGTTTAATCTTCATGGGAGCATGGGGTTTCTATTATTTTCCTTGCTATTTATTTCTAGCTTTATTCCAACATGGTCTGATATGATATATGGAATTATATATATATATATATATATATATATTTTTTTTTTTCTTTTGTTTTGTATTTGCTAAGGCTTATATTGTGACTAGAATATGGCCTATTTTGAAAAATGTTCCATGAACTGTGTGAGAATAAGGTAAATTCAGCTGTTTTGGGGTGAAGGATTTTGTGATGTCTATTAGATCCATCTGTTTTATACTGTTTTTTTAAGTCAGTGATATCTTCTTTGATTTTATGCTTTGATGAATTGTCCATTGGTGATAAGGGTGTGTTGAAATTACCCCATTTTATTGTATTGGGGCCTATCTGGGGTTTAATATGCAGGAGTATTTTCTTTTAATGTAATTGGGTGTACTGACATTTGGGGCATAAATGTTGATATCATGATACCTTCTTGTTGGCTTGTTCCCTTTATCAGGATGTAGTGTAATCAGCTCTTCTGATTAATTTTTACTTGAAATCTACTTTGTCAGATATGATAAAATCTTTCCAGTTTGTTTTTGGACTTAATTATGGATGTTTTCCCATCCTTTTTACCTTCATTCTGTGGATATCTTTGCCTTTGAAACGAGTCTTTGGCAATCTGCATATGGCTGGGTCTTGTCTTTTGATCCATTCCTGCTCGTCTGTGATTTTAATTGGGGAGTGAGACCATTTATATTCGGTATTATTATGGATCTGTGTTTGTGGTTTACTGCTCTTTTGATATTTTTGTTTTATTTAAGTCCGTCTTGATTCTCATTGAGATGATTAGTCTTCTATTGACCTTCACCTATGTGGAAGTTTGGGGGTTTGTTTGGGGGGTTCCTCTGTGTGCATTTTATCTTTGAGAACGATTTAGTCAGTGGGTATAAGTTTCTTTTAGGGAAGGAGCTGATTCTGTCTAGGAAAATACCTTGAAAGGAGGCCACTTTGGGAATGAGACAGATGGAAGAAAGATCTCTCCAAACAAAAGCTGGTGGAAATGTGCGGAGGAATGCAGAGGAGGGGGAGAAGGAAAGGATGGTGAGAGGAAGGAATGCTGGGCAGGACGGTCCGGGGGCGAGGCAAGCAAGGTGTCTTGGGCAAAATTGAAGAGGTCCCAGTGTCAGGTCGACACCAGTGCCCTGTCAGTATTAGGCACTGATTTGTGCCCTGGGTGCCTGTCTTCACCTCGTCCTAGTCTTGGAATTGAGGGAAAACCTCAGGAAGCTACTACCTGCAAGGAACTGTAGCCAGGAAAAACCTTCTGGGGGTAGGGGACAAAGGACTTTGAACAGGGGGGCGTCATAATCAGCCTCTGGTTTCTTTGCTGTCGAATCTGACACAATTCCTTCCTTCATTGCCCCCAAACCTTCGGTTAAATAGGCTTCATGTGACAGGTTTGAGGGGAAACCAGGAAATAGGGCTGTTCTGTGTCTGGGTTGGCAGGGAGAAGGGAAAATCTGCTAGAAGCAAGAGAGAGATTGAGGACCCAGGAGGACCAGAACTTTGGAGCCAGACATGACACTGGGGACTCACAGAAAACTTGGGAAGTCCTTCCCGTAGGACACAAGCCAATCTTTTTTTTTTTTTTTTTTTTTTTTTTTTTTGTGCCAGGAATTGAACTGAGGGGCACTCCACCACTGAGCCACATCTCCAGCCCTAGTTTATATTTTATTTAGAGACGGGGTCTCCCTGAGTTGCTGAACGCCTCACTGTTGCTGAGGCTGGCCTTGAACTCACAATCCTCCTGCCTCCGTCTTCAGAGTTGCTGGGATTACAGGCATGTGCCACCCTGCCCGGCCCAATCTTGTTTTATTTTTTTAAATAAATTTTTTCATTTTGGAATGATTATGGATTTAAAGAAAAATTGCAAAGAAAATATGGAGTGTTCCTATACCGTCTTTATTCAGTTTTCTTGAATGCTGACATATTTTATGCCCACGGACCATTCATCAAGACTAAGAAATAAACATTGGTACATTACAGAGCTTTTTGGGATTTTATCAGTTTTTCCACTAAAATGCTATTCGGGGACTCAGTCCAGGATCCTATACTGTATTGAGAGCAATCATATTAAAATCTGACAGGCCACTGACTACAGTTTGATTACACTGTCTTTGGTGCATTAAATTAAAAGGGGGGAAAAAAGACATATTTTGGACACAATTGAGGCAACATTAGGTGGTAGAATCGGCAGCTCCCATTCAAACGCTCTTGCCTGCTTTTCCCTTGGGCTAGCTGGAATCCCTTCCAGATTTCTCTTTCACCTCCTCTTTCTGTTTCAAAAGGCCATGCACAACTAATGCATCTGCTATTCTAACCTCATGATACACCTACCCCAAATTCTAGCAAAATTTTTACTTAGCAATCGTCACTGATATTTATTGAGCATCTCCCCTGTGTCAGAGTGGACACCGTACATGCAACATCTTGCCTTCCGAAGCCCCTCTGCCACACTATGAGGGAGGTAATGTTATTGTCCCATTTTACACGTGAGAAAACTGGACCATAGGGATGGAGAGGCTTGCCCAGATCACACAACGCTGAGTCCATCACAAAGTGGTGGAACACGGGGCTCAGAACTTGGAAGTGGGGCTTTGTTGTAACTGACACCTGCTCCCCCAAAGGTGTGAGCAGGGCCTTGGCAGGCCTGCAGATCTGCAGGTGTGGCACCTTTGTGATTGACACTGTCACCGTATCTAAATCAATTAAATAATTGGGAATTCATGGGGTCCGTGTTATCAACATGATCTGGGAACTCAGAATACATTATGTCCATTTCCCGAGAAGAGAGAATTCACAGGGGTGGCTGCAGCTACTGGCCTCCTGTCCAGGTCACCCCCTGCTTGCCATAGGGCGTGATCCCTACAGAGACTCTAGGTGGGTTTCCTGGGTGCACAAGGGTGGGATTGACGAGGATGCCTTGGAGCCAAGGACGGTAGGAGTTTGGTTCCTCTGACAGGAAGGACCTCAGGAGGACACTTCTGGGCCCCTTACCAGACTTGCGGGAGCTTTCCTTGTTGTAGGCGGTGGATGCTACGCTGAGGCGGGCTCCCATTTGCTCTGACCCGTACATCCTCCGGTAGAGGGCTTCCTCATTCTTAACAGAGTTTTTCTTGACAGCCTGGGAAGGAGCAGGGGAGAAGGTGCATCTTTGTTACCGGGTCTGCTTTGTCCGCTCCCCTCCCCCCACACACCAATTCAAAAGTTTTGCTCAAAGACCCACAAAGGCAAAGAGGAGAGAGCTGCCCTGGCCTCTGGGCGAGTCTTGGAGGGGGCAGGGAGCGGCTCCTAACCTGTCCTCCCACCTCTCCCTACCTCAGGGGGAGGCCGGGAGGGGCCAGAGCCCCCTAGGGCTGGGGCAGCCCCTCTAATCACAGGACCAGGGGGTTCTTCCCACTGGGTCGCAGGGTGCTCCTCTTTCAGAGGGTTCTCCTTGGAGAGTTGGGGGCAACGGCAGGTGGAGGAGGATGTCCCGCCGTGACACTTTACTGCAGGTCTGCAGGGGTGGGCTGGCTGAAGCTGGACAGGGTGGGAGGAGGGTGCAGAGGGTTCATCTGGGTGTCGGTAGCTGGACACTGCAGGCGGGGAGTGGGCTCCCCTCATCCAGATGGCGAGGCGTGGGGGCGGGGCAGGGGGAGCTCGGTCACCTGGGGGTCACCTTGGCTCCTACCTGCTGTTTCGCCACTTTGCGTTTCTTCTTTTCCTTCTCAGCGGCTTTGGGGGGCAGCTCCACCTTGGTTTTTGACTTCTGAAAAGGCAGAAGCGGAGAGACCCTCAGGGTCCTCACGAGGATTCCCAACTTCCGCCCCCAGGGAGGAGGAGTCTCCCTGGACAGTAGGCTGCTGCCGCCGAGTACCCAGAGGCTTGTCCTCCTGTTCCCCTCCCTGTCCCCAGTTCTCCAGGTACCTGCTGCTGCTCAGGCCACTGCCCCAGGAGTGACCTTCTGGACCTCAGGTCTGGTCTTGTCCCTTTCCACCTCAATCTGTCTGTGGCTCCTTGTCACTCAATCCCCTGTGCTCCCTGAAGTGGCCTTCTGCCTGTCACTTCCCTGCCCAGCCCCAACTGCACCTGCAGGAAAGCTGTCTTGCAGCAGAGCCCAGGCCGCACCCTCCTCTCCTCCCACCCCACTCCCCCATCCTGTCTTCCCGAAGTGGCCATCACACAGAACGTCACACTAGATCCTGTCCTTCCCCTGAAGGCTCCTTGTGACTGTCAAGGAGCCGCGCATTCCCTGCTCTGAGTCTGAGCTCCTTGTTCGTGGTCTGTGCTTGGCCTTGCAGGGCCACCGTGGAAGCAGGGAGGGGTCCTTAGCCATCTCTAGGGTCCCTGGGCAAAGAGCGCCACAGGGCTGCCTGAAGGAAGCTCCTCAGTCTGTAAGAGCTGGGGGCTGGGGGTGCTGAAGCATCCTGGGACAGACGGAGTTGAGGTTCTCCTCTGGAGATGAGCCATTTACTATTATTATTATTATTTGGTGGCGCTGGGGATTGAACCCATGGCCTTGTGCAAGCGAGGCAAGCTCTCTACCAACTGAGCTGGATCCCCAGCCGTGGCCCAGGCCACTTGGAGCAGCTGTGGTTCCGGGTCAGGCTGCCTGGGTTGGAATCCTGATTTGTCTGTCATCCAGGGACTGCATGACCTTGGGAGATCACGGCTCTCTCAGTGGCTTTTTCTCCTTAGCTGAGGACTGGGGACAATGGTAAGGTCTACCTCCCAAGATTCTCATGAGAAAGAGGTGATTTACTGCAGGTAGGTGCCAAGCTGCCCAGGAAGGATGCAGGCCGGCTTGGCGCAGGTGGTAGGCATGTTTCCATGGTGGCCAGGTGGAGGGAGCTGTCCAAGGGCTTCAGGGATGGGAGTAGCCAGATTGCCTTCTAAGGAGCGCGGAGTGGGTCCCTTCAAGGTTTTGTTGGGCTGAGTAGGGCGGGGGGAGGGGGCTGCAAGTTGGGACCAGGGCTGAGTGCTCAGGTCAAGAGGAGACAGGGTAAAGCCCTCTCCTCAGGGTGGTCCTCCTCCTATAGCCCCAGCTATCAGTCCTCAGTATCCCCACAGGGGCTCCTGGAGTATCCCAAGCGTCCCCAAGGCTGGGTGGAAGTGACCTGGTGAAGCCTTAGACCCAAGGAAAGTGCAGCAGCCACAGTTCAGAGCTCTTGGTGGCTGGGACTCTGGACTTCGGGGGTCTTCTTTGATGCCAGATGGATCTCAGGAGGCAGCAGTGATCTGAGACGGGGGCAAAGCCCAGATTGCCGTGACCCATCCCAGAAGGAAGGAGAGGAGGCTGAAGGGGCTGGAGGGAGGTGGACAAGCCTTTTCCCAGCCACGTCCACTAATGGGTCTCCCGCCACCTCCTGCTGTCCAGGACCTGCCACGTGAGATCTGTCACCCTCTTTCTTAGGAGCTTCTCTAAAATTCCAGAACAAATGTCCCCTCACGGGGGTCCCAGATTATTCACAATAAAAGCCGTGTGTACGGTAAAGCTGTTAAGACGTTATTGTAACCCTGGTGAAGGAGACGGGGACATTCTAATGTGAAAGTGCATGGGATCCTGGCATCGAGATTGAGTTCTGAGGGAGGCGGGTGGCGGCAAGTCACGAGCACCTTAGTGGAAAATGTGCTCATCGGGTGTCTTTTAAATTGTCGCAGGGAATTAGCTCTCCAGGCCTTTTTGGCTGTCTGAAAAACAAGCAGGTCAGCAGAACCGGGGTGATCCCGAAGGGCAGGGGTGCCGAGCCGGAGAAAGCCCAGTGGAGGGCGTTACGGGGCGTTGGCCTAACGGAGTCCATGAGCTTGGGAATCGGGTACCTTTGGGCTTGAGAACTGGGTCTGCCCTTAATTAACCGTGATCTCAAGAAAACGGCTTTGCTGCACCCCGTCTCCTTATCCTCCAGTTGAGGGGTGGTCATGGCTCCTGCCTTGGAGCCGGACTTGGAGCAGCTGGGGCATTAGCCCCTCTGCGATGCCAGGCCAGTAAGGGGTAAAGCTATCTGTAGGGTGAGCGTCGTCACTAGTGACGCTGCTGTCACCCATCTTGCTCTGGGGTCAGAGGAGAAGAGATCGGGTGGCATCTTCTGCAGAGCATACCACTTTCCAAGGACGTGGCTCGGTTCTTCATAGCTGAGGGCCTGGGGTGGCGAGCTCTGAGGAGCACTGAGGGTCTAAAGTGGTTGCTGGACTTCCTGGGGAAGGACGGGGTGGGGACCACCTCTGCTGGGGATGGGCAATGGTGACAGGAAGGAATGCCTTGGGCCAGGAGCCAGGATGAGGAGAGGGGCAGTGAGGGTCAACCCCGAGCCCCCAGGAGCTGCCCCTGGGCCCTCCCAGATACTGACCGAGGACAGCCACCCTCCTGGTTTGAATAAGCTGGAGCCGGTCTTTCCCTGACCCCCGACTGCCTTTTCCTTCAAACATTCCTACTTTAGGAAACGTGCATTTGTCACTTATTTGTCTCTGCCCCTCTGTGACATGAATCTCCTCTCAGCCTCTTGCCCGTCTTCCATGCAGGAGTGTCCCTCCAGGACCTGGAGCCACTTCTTGAAGGACAGTCCACAAACACCAGGACCTGCTGTCCCCAACCTCCCCCCAGCATCCTCCAGAACCTTGCCACTAGCTCACTCTGGTACTTATAAAAAGGCTCCCTCATCTTGTTTGGGGGGAGATGTGAATAACGTCTTCCCGCCATCTTTCTTGGCAGTACCCACCTGGAGATCTAGCTTCTTCTTCCCCCGCCTCCGCTCCAGCCACTCCAGCACCCGCGTGAGGTCGGACATCCGCCTCTCCTCGGGGGACCTCCAGACGGACTTCCTCTCCGTGGGCATGGCTCTCTTTGGGTCCTCCTGGTCCTGGGACATGCTGGGGTGTTGGCGGTGCCTGGGTGGGAGGCTGTGATCTCCTGTTCTCTCGACCCCTGGGTCTTGATGTGCTGGTGCGTGTGATTCAGAAGGTGGCCTGTGGCCTCTGGATGGGATCACAAACAGCAGAGTTGGCCAGCAGCTTGGAGGTCGGCCTGAAAAGAAGGCTGAGGGTGATTGTGAGGTCACGCTGGGCTTGGCAGCAGGTCCCTGGGGTGACAGTGGAGATGGCACTTTAGCCACATTCCAGTTTTCCCCACGTGGCCACAGCCCCTCTTCAGGCACCGTCTTCCTCCGGACCCTTCTACGGCTCCCGAGACCGCCTCTCCATCTCCGTTTCCGCCGAGATCTTGCTAAGACGAAGGTCAGCTCCGGTGTCTCCCTTTCTCAAAAATTCTCAGTGGGGTCTCTGTTTCCTATTTTTTTAAAAAAATGTAAATTTCCTAGTTCCTCCTCCCAGTTTTCCACAGTGGGTTCTAGTTAGAACACAGTGGTTTAGAAGTTCAGTTGCTCTGCTCATTTCTTCATTCCACAGATGATAGTATCCGATACCTGCTGTGCCCCAGGCAGAGTGCTGGGGACACCATGCAGGAGAAAACCCCAGGCAGACCTCTGAAAGCCTGGGCTGGAGCCAGGTGCTGTGGCGCACGCCTGGAATCCCAGGGGTTCGGGAGGGTGAGACAGGAGAATCGTGAGTTCAAAGCCAGCCTCAGCCATGGGGAGGCACTAAGCAACTCAGTGAGACCCTGTCTCTAAATAAACACAAAATAGGGCTGGGGAGGTGGCTCAGTGGTCGAGTGCCCCTGAGTTCAATCCCTGGTACAAAGAAATCCCCCAACAAACAAACAAACAAAAAACCCCCAAAACTAAACCTGTGCTGGAGGGATAAACAGGAAGCACGTGGTTCCTGTGTGAGTTCACAGTAACAAAGAAGGCTGGGCTCCTGAAGGAAAGGAATTTGACTTGAGGAGGAAGCCCCCCGTACAGTGGAACCAGACTTGGATGGGGTTCTGGGCGAGCGGCCTCTGAGGATCAGGTTAAGTGGGTTCCCACAGGGGTGCTGTCGTCTGCATGTTTGAGTCCCCCACAAATTCACATATTGAAATCTTAAGCCCCAAGGTCATGGTACCAGGAAGTGGGGACCTTGGAGGTGACTAGTTCATGAGGCTGAGTCTTCATGGAATTAGCACTCTTATGTAAAAAGATGACATAGAATCAGCCAGCCCTTTCCATCTTGTGCTGATAGAACTAGAAAGTGCCATCCATGAACTTGGAAACAGGTCTTTACTAGATGCAGACTATGTTGGCGTCTGGATCTCGGATTTCCTAGACTCTGGAACTATGAGAAATAAATATTTGTGTTATAAGCCACCAGCCTGTAGTGTTTTGTTACCGCAGCTCTAGTAGACTGTAACATCTAACAGGAGAGGGCTATGGACCAGAGGGAAGAGCATGTGCAAAGGTCCTCAGGCAGGATGGGAGGAGGGGCATGGCATACTTAAGCAACAACAGGAGGCCGGGGTGGCTAGAGAATCATGTGGTGAGAAACCATGTTGGTGAAGTAGGTGGAGTCCACAGGTACAGGACCCTGGAGGGCACAGACTCTGTTCAGACTGGAAAGGTAATAGAAGCTAGGAGAAAGCAATAAGGGGGAGGAAGTGACATGGTCAGCGTCTTAGCTTTTATGCTGCTGTGACTAAAAGTTCTGACCGGAACAATTGAAGAGGAAGAAGTTTATTTGACGGCTCGCGGTTTCAGAGGTCCACAGAAGGCCCGCCCCATTCCTTGGGGCTTGAGGTGAGGCTGAACATCATCATGGTGGAGAGCGTGACAGAAGGAAGCAGCTCACATAATGATCAGAAATCAGAGAGACTCCACTCTCCAGGTACAAAATATGGACCCATAGCCACACCCCCGGTGGACCCCTTCCTCCAGCCACACCCACCCGCCTCCAGCCACCACGCAGTTAATCCCTGATTAGGTTAAGGCTCTCCCAGCCTGATCATTTCTCCTCAGAACCCTCTTGTGTTGTCTCAGCGTGAGCTTCTGGGGGACACCTCACATCCAAATCCTAACAATCAGCCTCCCTTCCTCCCTCCCTACGTCACCCCTCCCTCCCTCCCTCCCTCCCTCCCTCCCTTCCTTCCTTCCTTCCTTCCTTCCTTCCTTCCCTTTTAACTGAAGGCATCTGTGTATTGTGCCTGAATCACAGATGAGGACATCTGTAGGACTAGGACCCCAGAATCCTCCTCGTGGCTTTAAGTCACAACCTCCCTCTAAGGGTAAACATCATCTTAACTTCTAATTTCCTCCTGCTTTAACTTTTATATTTCTAATTTCCTCCTGGTTTTTAACCTTCTGCTCAATTCATACATTTTAAAATTTTACTTGCAAGATGTTGACAGTCAGTCCTTTTGTCTTTTACGTGGCGATGTCTTCACATGACCTTCATTTTTGAAGAAAGACTTGCCAGGTAACAGAGTTCTTGTTAACGGTTTTCAGCAGGTTTCCTGGGCCCTTTCACCGCCCCCTGCCCGCCCTGTTTTATGTGAGAGGTTGGTGGTAATTGTGTTGTTGCTCCATTACTCGGGAGTTGTTCTTCTCTTGTTGATTTCTGTCTCTGTTTTGTCTTTTGACTGTTGCTCTGACGTGTCCAGGTGTGGGTCTCTTTGCAGTTTTCCTACTTGAGGTTTATAGAACTTCTTGGATGTGTGTTGAATGTTTTTCATAAGATAATAGAAGGTATCGGCCCTTGTTTTCTCCACAATTTTTTTCTCTGCTCCTTACTTTTAATTTTCTACTTCTGGGACTCCCATTATACATGTGTTGGTCTGCTTGATGTTGTCCCACTCATCCCTAAAACTGTATTTTTCTTCACTTTTGCCCCCTCTGTTCTTCAGATGTGGATAATTTCTATTACTTTATCTCCAAGTTCATTTTTTCCGCTGCTCTATATAATCTGCTCTAATAAATCTTTCATTTCAATTGAATTTTCAACTCCAGAATTTCCATTTGTTTTTCATAATTTCTACCTCCTTATCTGAATTTTTATCTGCTGATTCATTTATGTCAGAACTTCATTTAAATTTTAAACATGGTTTGCTTTAATTCTCTGAATACATTTAGAATAGCTATGTGAAGTCAGAGACTGTCTCTAGTAATTCCTTGTTCCCAGAGTATGCGTCACACTTTTCTGCTTTATTTTTTTGCATATTTTATAGGTTTTTTGTTGTTGTTGAAAACTCGAGATTAAAAAATATTGTCATGCTCTGTGGATTGATATGTAATGGATAAGTTAATTCACTTGATTTAACCATTCCGCAATGGCCACATACATCAAACAGCATGTCGTACACCATGGATAGATGCAGCTTTACCAATTTAAAAAAGAATATGGTAGCAACCCTGGATTCTGATCCCCATCGCTATGGCTCATGGTTCCTGTTTTTCATTTGTTTCTTTGCTTACTAACCGACCTGACTCTGTGGACCCTGTCATCCTTGCCTGGGAAGCTGTGGATTCTGTCCTCCTTATACTATGAAGCTGCACGAGTTTCTGATGAGTCTCTCGCAGCCTCACTTTGGATGTGACATCCATCATTTTTTGCCACACTTTGTTTACGAGAAGCAAATGATCATGTCTGCTGCAGCCCCACAGGGAATTACCCAGGACACCGAAACCAGGAGGTGAACCGAATTCAGGCCATCTACTTGTGCTGTCTTTTACTCTCTGCTGGGCTCTTTCTCATCCCTAGGTGTAGGCTCAGGGCTGGCTGGGAGGAGGGGGTGGCTGGACGGGACTCCCCCTGGCTTCTGCTCTGCATGCCTGCACACAGCTTTAGCAGGACTCTATCGGCCCCCAGGATTTGACTGCAATCTGAGTCTGGTAGGGCTGTTGGCCCTCCTGCTTTTCTGCCTTGGGGACTTTGACTTCACAAGGCTGCCAAGAGCAGGGACCACCACTGCTCCTGATCAAGGCAGCCCCCTTTCACCACAGCAGAGAAAATGCCCCACCCTGGAGCAGCCTCCCTACGGGCTCAGCTTGGAGGAGAGGAGGAGAGCAGCCCGGGGCTAGAGTGCCCCAGATCCCGGCGGCTCCTGCCCACATTTCTCTAGTTCTCAAGCATGAACCTTGCTCCGGCTCTCGTGCCCTGTTTGGTTTCCAGAATGCTGCAGAGTTGTTTGGGTTCACTTATCCGGTGTTCTAGTCGCTTTGGGGAAAAAAGATTCACTTTTTCTTCACTCAGTCTTGGGCCATGTCCCTTGCCAATGTCCTCTTCATACCACATTTTGTAACATCCCACTCGCTACTATGGGATGCATGTAAATCGTGACCTATTTGCCTACTCATATTTTAAAAAAAAATTACTATGATCCTTTAAAGTGAAGAAATTTTTAAAAAAATCTCCCTTTGGATCTATTTCAATATTTTAACGTGTGGCCACAACTCAAAAAGAAGGCCAACTCCTGAATTTTTCAAATACCCCTTAAGGAATAGTCCAATCTCGCTGAAAACCAATGACTTAATTAAAACTCTTTAGACTCTATTTCTGCAGTTCTGGTGGGAGAACTGGTAGGGGAACTGCAGAGAATTTTCGGTTTTGGAAATTCTCCTTTGCTGAAAGTGCATCTCCCCGTTCTGTATTGTTTGGTGAAAGTTGCCAAAGCTCCCATCCCCAAAGCCAAGGAATCCTTTTCCAGATGTATTTATTTTTTTCTCCTTCTCCTTTATCAATACTCACTTAATATCACAATGTTTTTCTTTGCTACCAGGGAAAGAATATTTTGACAGCAGATTTTTTTCTGCATGGCTTCTATGTAGTCATGAGGGGCCAGGTCTATTTTCCCTCTGAACATTTGTGCAAACAAATCAGAAATGCATGGATTTCCTCAAAGCATACCAGCATCAAGGCGAAATGCTTTCTTATATCTTTTCTACCTGGAAAAACTCAGAGACACCTGTGGTGGAAGGGGTATGGATCTATTTCCCAGTGGGAAGGAAAGACAGACAGGGTCCAGGGTGGCCTGGCCTTGAGACAGGTAGGTCTCTTTGGTGGGTTCCTGGGCTCCCTGGGTGAGGATGTATACAGAAGATATCAAAGTAAAACCACGACATCAGCTATTTCTCCAAGAATAGAAACCCTTTTCCAACCCTCTGGCCCCTTACCTCTCAGATACCCGCCCATCTCTTGGCAGACAGCTATTTCTGTCAAACCTAGCAACCTCATCCTAGCTTTTCTTAATTTTCCAATTTTCTTTCTAATTTCCAAAATCCAAATTCTATTATTCTTTTAAGAGGCACCCTCTCCAAGAAACCTTTTCTGATTTTTATCCCCAACCCCTCCTTCTACTGAATACACAACATACACCGGTGTTTCTTCATGTCGACCTCGCACTTAAACTGGTCACATCCACTTCAGAGTCATGAGGGTGTCTGAGGATAAAGACCCTATTTGGGTCATCCCCACATCTCCTGTGGCCTCAGGCACAGGGCCTGCCTGGCACAGAGCAGATGTGGGACAAGTGTTTTTTGAAATAATAAACGTGCAGCAGATTCATATGCAAACAGTGACTGGATTATCCAAAGCGGGGACCACGGAGCAGATAGAACCCAGCAAGAGAGTCAATGAATGAGTCGAGGCTGGGAGGAGGAGTCACTGCCTCACTATCTGTCCTAGTCGGAGCCCAGGAACCAACTCACACGAGACCAGGTGAAAACGACCACCACAATAGACAGACAGCTCAGAGCGGGCGGGCTTTGGCCAAAGCGCTGGGAGAGAGGAAATGCTGCTGCTACAGGGACTAAGCTGGGAGCCCCCACCAGACCTCCCCTGGAGAGCGGTCGTGAGGACCTGGGAACCCTGGGCTCCGGGGACAAGGATCAGAAACCAAACAGATGGGAGCCAGCGCTGGGGCTCCGTGTCCCTCCCACTTCTGTCCCTCTACCTGTCCAGCTGTCGCGCCCCGTCTCCTCTTATTCTGGCCATCTGCTTCTCTCTGTCACAACCAGTGTCTCTTCGGCATCGCTTTCCTCGTGTCCTTGTTTCTTGCGTGACCTTTCAGCCTCAACACTACCCATTGGCATGCTTCTTGGCTTGAGTTTCCAAAAAAAAATAAGAGAAATCTGATATTGGAGTCCGTGCCCTCTGGGCGAGGTTTGGTTTTCTCCTGGACAGCTGTCACCCTGATCTGGATGATGGCAGGGCTGGGTGGAGGCAGGCAGGGGACCGTCACCGGCTCTGTTGCCATTCGGTGGGAGCTGCTGATGGGGAGGCCTTTCCTTGTATTTACAAGGAGCAAGAGTGCTGCCCGGGGCATCTCCACCCAGGTTTCCCCTTCCTCAGATCTGTGGAGAGACCAGAAGGGCGGCTCATGTCTCCGCAGGTGGCACCTGGTGGCTCTGTTAGGGGCTGGCATGGGAACGGGGCTCCCAGAACTCTACTCTTCAAACACGAGTCGCTAGCTGTCTCTTTCAGCCGACAGACATTACGGTCGTCCTTTTTGGAAGAAACCTTGTTACGGAGTGCACGAGAATTACAGGCCACCAGGCACAGGGGACCAAACTGAAAGGGAAAAAAAGGTCCTTTAATGAGCAAGCCAGGCAAGCGACCCGGGGCAGCCTAGCGCCTCAAAGAACTCCCGGCACCTGATTTTTGGAAGTTCAGAGTTTATAAAGGCAAAATCCACAAAAACCACAAGAACAATCGAGGTCCAGGTAGGTCAGACAGACCCTGTTGAGACATGTTTTGATTACGTGAGAGAATTGTTTTGATTACACATTTCACAATCATTTTTTGTTACACACCAGGGCCATAGGGACACGGGAAGGTCCCACTGTACTGTCAACACAGATAACAGCTGTTCCGGGGAGGCTGAAAAGACAACATTTAAGCAAGATACAAAGGAGTCAGGTCAGAACAAAATGGCGTTCCTTTGGTTCTTTTTCATTTCAACCTAAAGTCAGGCCACCCAGGCCCCAGAGAGTCATCTGCAGGAACAGTGAGGAATTGGAGCTTGAAGACCGACTGTGTCTGTGCATGTCGTGCCAGGTACGGTGCTGGGCACTGAGGAGGACAAGGCTGAGTGGAGCCCGTCTCTGCCCTCAAGGTGCTCATCACTTCTTTGTGACACTATCTATGGTCCAGTGGGCCTTGCGGTGTAGCCCCAGGTCCCTTCTCTGCTCTTCTGGATATTTGGGTGAGTAAACAACACTTTGGTTGAGGGGGCAGGACCAAAATGCTCTAAGCCATTCAAAGTCCAGTGGCTCTAACCGTCCCCAACCCCAGAGTGATTGACGCAGGAGCCCAATCAACACGGAAGCGAGAGCTTTCACTGGGAATGTGGGGACAGACCGTCCCCGTGAATGGTAGGATACCTAGATGTGAAGCCTGGGGGTCATCTTGCCTTGGTGAGGGAGGCCAGCTACGCTGCAGATGAACCCCGTTCAGAGATGGGGGCAGGGATAAAAGAGGCTCCTGAAAAAATGGAGTCAGAGACGGGGTTTTCAGACCTGTGAGACGGGACTCAGTTTGAACTGCGGGTTCTGTCACTTGCAAAGTCTATGTGGTACACGTTCACACAGGTGGGATGGTCAGAGCGCAAGAGCAACCCAGCAAAGGGCAGCGGAGCCCAGAGCAGGCCTCGGGCAAGTCTGCTCGGGGGAATCAGAGAAGCCCCTGTATCCGACTAGATCTTGAAGAAGGCTGAGGGCTGCAGCAGAGGGACGTTACATTCCAGTGGGCGTGGACGGAGGCGTACCGGGAGGAGGAAATAACCCCGTGTGTCTCAAGAGCAGAGGCCCCTAGAACAGAGCTGGTTTGGAGCCAGAGGCTGAAGATGCGCGAATACGTCACTGCTCTGGGAAGCTGCTTGGGTCTATTTTCTTTGTTCAGTTGAATCCCAGGCTGGGTAGCTGACCAGCAGTAGAAGTTTACTTAGTCTGGGGTTTATTTAGGCTGGGTTGTCCAAGTTCAAGGGTGAGAGTCTGGGGAGGGCCTGTGAGCATGCACTAGACACAGAGAAGGGACAGGCGATGACTGGACTTCTAGCAAAGCCATCTCAAGATAACGAACCCTCCCCCGCCCCCCCGCCGTAGTAACAGCATCGAGGATACACGAGAACAGAGCTCCCATGACCCCATCACCTCTTCAAAGCCCCTCTTCTTACACCTGCTACAATGGGAGTTAAATCCCAATGTGAGTTTTGGAGGGAACCTTGGAATCATAGCCAAAGCTTATTCATCTGTTCAACCGGCCACTGAGCGGAAATGGGGGCCGGTGGGGAGTGGGCAGGCTGAGCCAGAGACCCAGGAGGATGCTGTGGGTCCCACAAAGCCACACTGCTGGAGGGGCCTCGACTCCAAGTCCAGACCACACCTGGGACTGTATTGAGGGTTGGGACAAAGAAATGAAGCTCGGGGCGCAGACATGGGGAAAGGGTAGGAGAGCCTGTTTCCCCACCCCCACCAACTGATAAGCGATTTATCTGTAGGATGTTTACTGAACCTTTGATTAAAAAGATGTCGGGGGCCGTGGTGTCAAAGAAAGCAGGTGGGGCCAGGGAAGACCACTTTTCCCGTGGTTTCTGTTATCAGCACCGACATGTGGGCCTGCGCCTGGCTGGCCCAGCCCCAGACGCTCCTCTGGCTCATGGGTGGGGGAGAGGAGAGGGGTGGGCTAAGACAGAAGAGGTCTCCAGGAAGCTGAAGTGCACAGGGAGCCCCCACTCTTGGCCTCCGCCCTCTTGGCCTCCTCTTAGCGAGTGTCATGGCGGAACCTAAGAGGTCCAGGGGCTCTCTGAGCGCACCCGAAGAGCCAGGATCCAGGGCAGAACCTGAGGCATTTAGCATCGGAGCTGGAAATGCCCCTGAAGGCCTCAGCATTTGCCCTCATTTCACTAATGGGGAGGACACCAAACCCAGGGAGCCCAAGGTCACAGCAAAATCGTGGGGGACCCGGAAACTCCATCATAGTGAATGAGGCCTGGGCTGTGTGCACTGCTGCCCAAACCTCTTCCTATCTATCACACTGGATGGCGGGCGGTGGGGCGGCTCCAGTTCAAGTGCAAGACAGAGAACCTCAAGGGGGACGCTGACTGGATCTCCAACAGCAGGGAGCGTGGGGTGGATCACAGGCCACCCCTGAGAGCGTGACTGTCACTTGGTGTCAGGTGAACGTGGCCCTGTGGGAAGGGGACCCAGCACGGCCAGATATTCTGAATTTTTTCCTAGAGAAACTAGAAACCCTGCTTTGTATGTGAAGCTAGTTGGAAACACATTGAAAGAGAAACGCTGGCAGGACAAAGCTCATGTGGGCCTGCTCAGCCCTAGGGAGGCCCACTTCCTGCCTCTACTACCTCTACCTCGCCGCCACTGGGAGGCCTGTCAGGCCAAATGACGGGAGAAGAGTGACACCGAGAGAGTGGAGGGGACTTTTCAAGTCCGCTGGAACCCGTTCTCCCGACCCCCCCGGCCTGGTGGGCTTCCGAGGGTCACCCAGGTGTCATGCTGTCAAGGGTCCAGGAGGCCTTGAGTGCAGGGAAATGTATAACCCCATCTTCACCCTGGCTCAGGCGGGGGGACCCACGGGCGTGAAGTCCACAGGGGGTTCCCCCCTGGGTGCTGCATCGTCCTGAGGAGATGGGGTGGCTCTCTGTGTTTCTGTTTTGATCTACTTTCTGGCATTGCTAGCCAGTGTGGCTGCATGATGCAAGGACAGTTTAAAATGTGTGTTTTCTCTTTAGTGAGAACTGGCTTCCCCCGGGGCTCCTCCAAGTTCCAGAGGAAAGAGTGAAAAGGCGTTGATCCCCAGTCTCAGCCAGGCGCCCCCCGGCAGGAGGCTCTGACATGGAGCAGCACCCGGGCCCTGTGTTCCAGGCTACTCCAGGCAGACGTCTCAGTTAGGTGGCAGGATGCGTGTGCGGTGGGGTAGGCTGCGATCCACACATTCAGAGCCCTGCAGTCTGCTTCACCCTGGAATGTCCTTCCTCTTCTCTGCAGGACCCCACGCAGGCTTCTGGCTTCCCCGGGCACCAGCCTTGGGGCTGAACGGCCCTGAGTGTGCTGTGATAGACAGGAGAGCTGTGCAGGGCACTGAGGGGACAGGGCTGCCAGGAGCCAGGGAGCCCACAGGAGGCCCACCTGGCTGTGTCTCATTGCCAGTGATCTTGGGCTTGCTACGTGGCCTCTTTCATCTTGCCTTCCAACTCAAGGAGGTGGCTGCAAACAGGGGACGGTGAGGTTTGGTTGACAGAGGTACTACCTGCCACCTGCAGCATGTTTTGGAGATCAAGGCGTTTCACACACCAAGATTTCAGATTTGATTACATAAATGGATGCTCTGGTGTGACGGGGCCTGACTGGCACCCTGGGGTGGGGTGGGTGTCACCTGCTGCCACAGTCTCTACCTAACCAACTGTACCCATCTATGCAACCTGCTGATCCCTTGAAGACATCTGAGTTTTTGACCCCAGGGTTACATAATAATTCTAGCCACTAATAATTATAAAATCACAAAGTTACTTCACCCTGTCTCTGATCTAGAGAAAGAGACATTCTTTCTTAAAATTCTAATTTGTTATATATGACAGCAGAATGCATTGCAATTCATGTTACATGTAGAGAGCACATTTTTTTTCATATCTCTGGTTGTGCACAAAGTAGAATCAACCATTTATGTCTTCATACATGTACTTAGGGTAATGATGTCCATCTCATTCCACCATCTTTTCTACCCCCATGCCCCCTCCTTTGCCCTCCTACTACCCCTTTGTCCTATCTAGAATTTATCTAATCTTCCTCTGCTCCCCCTTAACCCTATTATGAATCAACCTCCTTATATCAGAGAAAACATTCAGCATTTGTTTTTTGGGGTGGGGGATTGGCTAACTTCACTTAGCATTATCTTCTTCAACTCCATCCATTTACCTGCAAATGCCATGATTTTATTCTCCTTTAGTGCTGAATAATATTCCATTGTGTATATATACCACATTTTCTCTATCCATTCATCTACTGAAAGGCATCTAGGTTGGTTCCACAGTTTAGCTATTGTGAATTGTGCTGCTATAAACATTGATGTGGCTGTGTCCCTGTAGTATGCTATTTTTAAGTCCTTTGGGTATAGACTGAGTAGTGGGACAGCTGGATCAAAAGGTGGTTCCATTCCCAGTTTTCCAAGGACTCTGCATACTACTTTCCAGATTGGTTGCCCCAATTTGCAGTCCCACCAGCAATGTATGAGTGTACTTTCCCCCACATCCTCGCCAACAATTATTGTTGTTTGTCTTCATAATAGCTGCCATTCTGACTGGAGTGAGATGAAATCTTAAGAGTAGTTTTGATTTTAATTTCTCTAATTGCTAGAGATGATGAGCATTTTTTCATATATGTGTTGACTGATTGTATGTCCTCTTCTGAGAAGTGTCTGTTCAGTTCCTTGGCCCATTTGTTGATTGGGTTATTTGTTTTCTTGGTCTTTAGATTTTTGAGTTCTTTATATATCCTAGAGATTAGTGCTCTATCTGATGTGTGAAGGGTAAAAATTTGCTCCCCAAATGTAGGCTCTTTTTACCTCATTGATTATTGCTTTGCTAAGAAGCTTTTTAATTTGAATCCATCCCATTTATTCTTCTTGATTTTAATTCTTGCACTAGAGGAGGAGAAACAGACATTCTTAATCCTTACTACAGGTTTGGCGCCCAAGGCTCAAAGGCATGTGGTCACCCAGGCCCTGGGGTGTCCAGTGACTGCGTGGTGAAGCAGGACTCACACCTGCCTGTACGCTGAACCCACCCTCCTTCCAGGCTTAAGTGGCCAAGGACACCCCGGTTCACCCCTCGATGGACTGTGGCTCAGGAACCTTTCAGCTCTCATTTCTGGAGACTTTACTGCTCTGCTACTGAGAGGAGAGTGGGAGAGGCTGAGAGGTTTGGAAAGGGTGGAATGTTCTCTGATCACCTGCTCATTAGTCCCAGAGGGGTAGGTGGGGAGGGGACATCTTTGCATGAAGGATTTACAGAGAGACTAGGTGAGGAGGTGGGCAGAGTTCAGGGTGAGGTGTAAGGGGGTTACGCCTGTGTCTGTGACACCTCCCTCCACTCCCAGCTTCCCAGAAGGTGGACAGAAGCCCAGAAGCAGCGCAACTCGATCACAGGCCGGTGGCTTAGGTCTGGCTACAATCAGCCCGTCCTGCTCCATAATGGCGGCAGGTTGGTGAGCAAGTCCCAGACCAATTATTTTCACTGTAATTTAAATAGGAAAACCCTCCTCACTCTCAGGAGTGTGGGGGGACACGCAGGGTTGCAGGAAGGTGGGATGGGATGCCACTGCCTTCCTTGTGTTGTGGGGAACCGGCCTCAGGGTTCCTTCTGGTAAAGAGCCCTCGGGGACAGAAGGGGAGGTTGGGCTGACACGTGCTCACAGTGGCACAGCCCTCTGCCATCGGACCCTAAGATATCAGCTTTGGGTGGAGAGGGAGGGGCAGGGGTGGGACTCATCCCCAGAGGGAATGTCTCCGATGGGGATCTCAGAGCAGGTGCGGGTTCCCGAGGGCTGCCATCTCTTCCATGCCAGTCACCATACTTGTCATTTCTGTGTACTTCCTCATTTAATTCTCCGCATGAATCAGCAAAGGAGGTCTTATTGCCCCACACGACAGGTGGAGGAATTCAGGTCCAAAGAGCTGTCCAGGTACTGGGAGCCCATGTTCCTCCTCCTCCTCCTCCTTCTCCTTCTCAGGAAAGTGGTTGTTATTCTTCTCGTGGCACAATAAGGAGACTGAGGCCCAGGAAGGGAAGTAATGGCCCCACAGTCAGCTGGTAGAGAGTCAAGAACTTGAGCAACAGAAAGACCAGTGCCAGGGATGTCACTCTTATGCAGACTGTGAAGAAGCTGTGTGTGGGGGGGTGCTGCTTCCCAGAGGTTCGGTGGGCAAGGGGCTAGTCAGTGGGTGCCCCGTGACAGGTACAGGAGGAATGAGTTCTGGTGTGCCATCGCACAGCAGGGGACCCCAGCTAGCAGTGCTGTGCGGATTTTGAATGTTCTCATCACAAAGAAATGATGAATGTCTAAGAGGATGGATATGCTAAGCACCACCCAAGTTATTAGTGAACCAAACACCACGGTGGGCCTCTCCTAATTTGTACCATGGTGTGTTGATGAAAGATGAAATTTAAAAATTAAAGCAAAATTTAGGTGAGCTCCAGTCTTGGAATCCATGGCCCTTTCTAGTTTGCCGAGCCCCAAAAGGTGCTTATGGTGAAACCAGAGAAGCCTCCGGCAGGATCACATTCACAGGTGGAATCTGCAGCGACCTAAGGAGAGTTCCCAGGGGCTGGGGGAGGGGAGCCCATGGGGAAAGGTGGGGGGGGTGTTACTCAAAGGCGAGAGACTCTGCCGCTTGGCCTCTTTGACAAACCAACAAACAATAACACCAAATCCTCTCTTGTCTCCTTTTCCTCATCTGTGAAAAAGGACAAAATGACTCTGGGTCTCTCATCAGTTATTGTGAAGTTACTTAATCAGCCACAGCTGGGAAGTAAAATTGCCCGTGGCCCTTATTTTGGTAAACAGCTGTGTGGGGTGGCAGGGGGGACACCGGCCGGGTGCCCACTGCTGGGCCATCTCCACTCCCCTCTGAATTTTCCTGCGTCTGCTTGGGATCTTGGTGGGCCAGAGGAACCCCTTGGTATCCTATAGTCTGGAGGTTCAGTGACCCCAAAGTGCCCATGTGAAGACTCGGTCTCCAGGGTGGCAGTACTGGGAGGGCTGTGGGCCTTTAGGAGGTGGGCCTGGCAGAGGTCCCCAAGTCACTGGGGGTGTGCCCTCAGAAGGGGTTGTGGGTCCCTGCCTCTCAGCAGCGGCAGGTTGAGGTCCAACCATGTGTTCCCACACAGGCTCCTGTGTCACCATCTGCAGCTGTGGTTGGAGACCAAACAAATAAGGCTGTCGATGTTGAACTCTGAACCTCCAAATGGGTCATCTAAATGAACCTTTTTTTCTATACAAGTTAAATGCCTTAGGTATTTTGTTGTAATGATGCTCAGCATGCAATGACCCAACATGAACTTAGGTTCCTGGGTTCTGAGACACACAGGGGTGTCCCTCTGCAGTCAATGGAGCCCTGAGGTCGTCCCCTGCCTGCATTCTTACATCAGGACTTAGTTTCCCTCCTCCTTCCTCCTTTCATTTTCCAAGTGTCAGTGAACCGCCCCTCCCCCACCCACCAAGTCACATCTTGCCTCAGGGGACAGAGGCTTCTGGTGCCTCAACAGGGTCCCACTCCCAGCACACATTCTGCAATGTCTGGAGATGCTTTGGGTTGTGTTTGGTGAGTGCTACTGGCATCCTGTGGGTAGGTGCCAGGGAGACTGCTAAACACCCTGTCCTGGCAAAGAATGGCGAGCCTAACATGTCAACAGTGCTGAAGCTGGCATTTCCTGGTCTGTTGGGTGGCATAGACAAGTGTCTAAATGGCTAAAATTAAATGTTATGAGGTTATATAGTAGAAGTAGGTCCAGAGATGCATCAGAGAGAAGCAAAGAAAGTCCCCATGGAAGAAGTGACATCATCATGTCACCTGTTTATATTCGGTTGACTTGTTGGGGATGTCAGTGCAGCTTTTCTAATAGTTCAAACCCCATATGCTCTGGTCATTTCATTTGCACCCCTGGATCCAGCTGTGCCTGAAGTCCTGTACTGTCTGGTTAGGTGATACCTCTAGGTTTCTCTATTCCTTGTACCAGTCCTTCTTGAGTTAGTTCTAATATGTAGAAAAACCTCACATCCAAGCCACACTTGGATTTTGTGCAGGTTTTGCTAGCTTCTCACCCTTACTCACCTGATGGCCCCCAACTGATAGGGTGCCTCCTCCCTGTGGCTGGTGGCTTCCATCAGAGCTGCAGCTCTGGCATCAAAATATCCAAGCCTCCGTTGATGGAAGTGCTCCATCCGCCCAGACATCAGACGTGGCGTGCGGAACAGCTGCCCGCGCAGGGCTGGCAGTTAATTAAAAGCCCCGTGCATTTAGTGATTAACTAATCGCAGCGTGATGGCTGTCGGTGACGAGGCGGCGACTTCTCTGCTGGAGTCAGCTGAGAAACTCCAAATGTCTGCCTCCGGGCCACCAGCGGCAGCAGGAGGCTCAGGAGGCCCCCCGCGTTGACGTCCCAAGTATTTTGCCAAGTGGCTTCCCAGCTGTCTCCCGCTAGCAGCTTGCGAGAGGGGTGGGCGTGGCGGGGCGTGGCTGTTCGTGCAGGGCCCGGGAGAGGCCAGGAGGGGGTGCCCTAGGCATCTGAGAACTGCACACACCTGCGCTCAGTGGGGCGCGGGAAGGAGGTGGCCTGGGCACTGGGCAGTCCTGGGTTGAGCTCAGTCGTGTGCGAGATGACACAGACCTCTTGATTCCAGGGCAGTGTGGGACAGCGGTTAAGGGTACGGCGAGCTTGCAAACTGCCCAGACAGAAACAAGGCCGTCTGGGAGCAGGTCATCCCTGAAGACCCTCGGGAGCCTGGAGGGAAGAGGAGGGGTTGGCCAGACTGCTGGTTGCCTCTCTCAGAGCCGCCTCGTTGCTTGTGTGGCCGTGGACGTGATTTTGAACCCCTCAGCCTCAGTTTCCTTTCCTGTAAAATCTAAGGTTAATGCCAGTGTCTACATCCCAGAGTCATGGGAGGATTCATCCATGTAAAGATCTGTGAACACAATTAACCTGTGAAAAATATGAACTGGCCACTGTCGGCTGGCGAAGCAGAGGGTGACTTCCTCACAGGGGAGAAATGGGGGCCATAAAGGAGAAAAGTGGCTTTGGCTCCCGTCCCCCAGCTACTCCCCACTCCCCATCTCCCCCTAGACCAAGAAAGCTGGAGGCTGAGGCCAGGGGCCTTGGGCAGGGCAGCCTAGGTGGGACCAAAGGGCTGCAGCTGCATGCGTCCGTCCCCCTTCTGTTAGCGGAATTCCACAGGGGACTCAGGGGCTGTTTCCAGGGCAGCCTGGGCTGGCACCCCCAGAGTGGTGTGGGGTGGGCAGCTTGCTGCCTCTTTGCTGCCTCTGTTCTGCTCTTGGCTCCAGTTCTGTGGCTCCAAAGTCATAGCCTGCTAGGCAGGGTGACCCTACACCTGGGAGTAGCTGTGACTTCCACGATATCAATGCTGCAGCTTTCAGGGGCCACTACGTCTCAGTTCTATGTCTTGTTGCCACTGGGCTGCCTGCTTCTCCAAAGCTGTGACACCTGTGGCTGACACTTCTGTCTCAGGGATTTCTTGCATTCCTCTCCTCTGGCTTCACCTCTGAAAGTCCACCTCCTTCTCTTCCTTCAGGCTCTGGAGTATGGTCCCAGGGTGACCTGCCTTCCCTGGGCATCTTGCTTCAGCCTGAGGAGGCTGCAGACTGGGCAGCATCTGATCTGGGCTGCTGGCCTTGTGTCCTGCTGAACTCAAACCCCTTGGAATCTCCCTTTGCTGGGTCTGGCTGAGTCACCAGGAAGAACTGGGCTGCCAACCCCAGCCACTGGCTCTGGCCAGCCCAAGCAAGGGTACGGGGGAGAGGGTTGGGAAAGCAGGTCTGGGGAAGCCCAAGGTAGGGCAGAGCTGGGTCCAGTCCCCTCCTTGGGCTTTGCCATCTGTGTGTTCCTCTGCTTGACATTCCAGGGGACAAGAGAGCTGACAGGCTGAGCTGCTGTCACAGGATGCCCCCTCTGCCAGAGCATGTTCTTTGGGGAACATGGGATGGTGCCCATATTAGGGTGCTAGTGTCAGAAGGCAGGGGTGGATAACATGGGAAGCCTCTGCTGAGCCAGGTCCCCGTGTCCAGAAGGGGCCTGTGATACCCATGTCTGGGGGGTGGGGAGGAGATGACCTCTCCACTCCCTCACATCTTTTCCAGGCCCTTCCCTGGGAGGCTAGGTCACAGCAGGGGAACAGTCAGCAGGTAAGTGTCCCTTCCCATTCCTCCCAAGTCCACCTCCCAAGCGTCTGGGAGAGTTTCCAAGTTCTGAGGAACGCTGAAGTAGGTTGACACAGGTTCTTGGGATCAGAAGACGATCGACATTGCGGCAATGCTTCTGGCTGCTGTGTGACCTTGAGTAAGCCCCCTGATATCTCTGGGCCTTCGTCTCTTCACTGGGAATAAGAAAACCCTGCAGACAGAAAGGGCTGGTCACAACTTAGGAAGGACTGCTTCAGGGTCTGTCCTTCCACAGGGGGACCACGATCCTTGTGGGCCTCCCCCTCCTTTTACCACCTGTCCTCTCCCCCCTTCTCCAGCCCTTGCCCTGGGTGCTGGGACCTATCCTGGCATTGCTGCTGAAGAGGCTACTTTGGGAACCTTTCCCAGAACCTTGTCACTTCTCCTTAGCCTGGAGAGGTGACATGGCTGAGCAGTCAGCAGAAAGGGCTGGGTGACGGCGCAGGGGGGAGGCTGAGGTTGGGTGGGGGAGTGGGGAGCCTGGGGAACAGCTGTGATGTGACTGAGGAGGGCAAGGACAGATCCTCAGCCGCCTTGGACAAGCTCAGTGTGCCTTTGGTGCCTAATAGAGGACGTAGGTCACATTCCCTACAGAAGAATCTCCAGAGTTGACTTCTCAGCCTGGATGGCTGGAGACAGGGTAAACAGGCAGGGCTCAGGGACCTTCGTGGATTTGGGGGAAGTTCTTGGTTTTAACCTTGTTTTAATTTGGGCTGCTATAGTAAAACTATTGCAGACTGGTTGCCTGAAACAAGCCTTTATTTTTCACAGTTCTGGAGGCTGGAATTCTGATGTCCGGGATCAGCACGGTCAGGCTCTGGTGAGGGCCCTCTTCCTGGTATACAGATGGCCGTCTTCTTGCTGTGTCCTTTCCTGGCAGGCAGCAGGGAAAGAGGGCACTAGGCCCATCCTGGGGCCTCTACCCTTGGGACTTAATCACCTCGCAGAGATCCCACCTCCCCATTATGTCAGAGGGTCAGGATTGCAATGTATGAATTTGGAGGGACACAAATCCTAGGTCTGTAACACGCCTTAGACTCGTGACAAAATGATTCCCGTTCATGACTCATTGGCTTTATTTGAATGCCACAGAGGAGAACCTGAGGCTAGAGGTGCCAGAAGACTCGCTCCCGTTCATACAGCGGTGCCTTAGCTTGAGAGAAGTCTGTCATTCACGGAGGTGTGGAAGGGCATGGCCCAGGGCTGGCCTCAGGCCTGCCTTGCTGGACACCTTATGGCCTGTGCAGGTCCAAGTGGGGCGGCGAGGGGAGTCTTGGGCCCCAGGAATAGAGCCCTGTGGAGGCCTTGGGTGAAAGTGGTTCATCAGGAAGTGTCCCAACGTTCCAGGAAAGACCAGGTGGGGCTGGGGCGAGTGGGAGAGAGACAGAAAGGGCGGCTGGTGCAGCTGTTGGTTCTAGGGATGTGGCCTAGTGTCCTGCTGGGACCCAAATCTATTCCAAAGGGTGTAGGTGAGTGGTCCAGGTCTGGCTTGACCCCGTCCATCCATGTCAGGGGCTCAGCTCTGAGTCTGTCCATCCTCAGGACACTGCTTTTTCCTATATGGCAGCACATGCTCCAGCCATCACATCTTCCTTTCCAGCCAGTGGGAGGAGGAAGGGAGAACATTTCTCCAAATCTCACATGACTCTTTGGCTTCCAGGTGTTTTGGGTGAGAAAGATCTAAGGTCCGTGGACACTTCAGCTAACAAGAGGGGTCAAGAAGTGAAGATTTTATTCCGGGCAGCCCATAACCCAACTAAAACAATTATGTTCTGTTACTGAGGAAGGAGGAGAGATAGGTGATGGGGGACAGAAGCAGCCACTGTCATAGAGAGGATAAAAAAAATGAACTTGACCCATTTGCCTACCGCACTTGAGGACAGCACTGCCCTCTGCCTAGAGCTTGCCCTGTAGGATCCGATATGCAGTCCATCTTCACAGGGGTGCGTGGGGCTGGAACTGGGATTTCTGGGTCTATTAGACTTTCCCAAGGGAAAAGACTCCACCCAAGGAACAACAGGCCCCACAGTGCGGACAGGGTCCCTGGAAGTGTCCTGGGGGCAATGGAGGAGCAGGCAGGGAGAACTTGGGACCAAGCCCTGAGCTGGGAGCCGGAGGCTGGGCTTTGAGCTCCTGAGTCTCTTAATTTTCAAGGTGACGTGGGACAGGCCTGTTAACCTCCAACACCCCTCAGTCTCAGCTCTGTGGTCAGTAGGATGAAGGCAGGACGAAGAAGTCAGGGCAGGGTGAGGCAAGAAGCACTCCAATCCCACCTGCAGAGAACAGGGACACCCAGCAATCAAGAGAATGAGGATTTGAACGGAGCGTTTTCACCACTGTAAATATACATAACAAAAAGGTGGTTTTTACCATTTTAAGCGCTGAGTGGCACGCACACCCATTACCACCATCCACCTGCAAAAGTTTCTCATCTTTTCCAACTAAACTCTATCTGCATGAAACACACACTCCCATCCTGCGCCACCAGCCACCATTCTACTTCCTGTCCCTGTGAATATGACCACTCTAGGAACCTCGGACAAGGGGAATCATACACATCTGTCTTTTTTGTGTTGCCTGATTTCACTTAGCAAGATGTCTTTCAGGGCCATCGCTGTTGTGACCTAGGTTAGGGTTTCCTTCCTGTTAAAGACTGAATAATATCCCCTTGTATACGTTTTAATCAGCTTTTTTTTGTGTGGCTGTGACCAAAAGACCTCACAAGGACAATTTTGGAGGAGGAAAAGTTTATTTGGCGGCTCACGGTTTCGCTAGCTCAATTCCTCTCTGGCACTAGGTGAGGCAGGACATCACCACAGGAGAGTGTGGTCAAGGAAGGCAGGTCAGGGTGCGACCACCAAGAAGCCGAGAGCACCACTCAACAGGGACAGAAGGCACACCTCAAAAGGCATGTCCCCAGGGACCTACCTCCTCACCTACACCCTGTCTGTCTATAGTTACCAGTTAATTCCTATCAGTGGATTAATGGACTGATTAAGTTAAGGCTCTCCCAACCCAAGTGTTTCACCTCGAAACTTTCTTGCATTGTCTAACACTTGAGCTTTTGGGGGACACCACATAGCTTTCTCTCTCCTTCCACTGATGGACACTCTTTCCTTCCACCTTCTGGCTAGCGTGATTCATACTGTTTTGAACGTGGGTATTTAAATAATCTGTTTGGGTCCTGCTTTCTTTTCTACCTTATTATTTATTTAGTAATTATTTGTTGTGTGACTGGGGTTGAACCTAGACGCCCTACCACTGAGCTACTTCCCCAGTGCATTTTTTTCTAAAAATTTGAGTCGGGGTCTCAGTAAGTTACCAGTTTGGCTTAAAACTTGCAATCCTCCTGCCTCCGCCTTCCAAGTCATTGGGATCACAGGCGTGTGCCTGGCTCGAGGTTTCATCTTTCGTGAAATATTTAAAAAATAAAATCTATGCCTAAAAGCTCATGACCAACAAAACGTCAACATCTCAGGTCAAACACAAGATCAGTCAGGGCACCGCGGGGTCATCTGAGAGCAGGGCGCAAAGGAAGGGCGGCGACACCCTGCACTGCACGATTGTGTTTCTGGCATCTTCTTAAGGGTCCCTCCCGAGGCGGCCTCGCTCTCCTCCCAGCCTGGCGGTGCTGAGGTTGAAGTGAGCCTGCTCTGGGCACAGGGGACCCGGGGCCCTCAGCTGTGCTGACTTGGGGAACGGAGGAGCCCCCAGTCGGGAGGCTGGTCAGTGTTTCCTTTGGAGAGTCGCCTTCGTTAGTCCCATCAGACGAGTTCCTCCTGAGGTCCACGCAGCTGGATTACGGAGACTGGCACTGTGTCTTCCGTCCCTTTGAGAGTTGCTTTGCCAAGTGACAAAGCAAGAGATGTCTGTCCCTGCTCAGAGGTGGTACTCTGCGAGCTTGGCTTGAGGCCGTTCTGGAGATGGGAGAGGACCGTTGCTACTCTGTATCCTGTTAGCTCAGGCCGACTGGGGGCTTAGTGCCATGTGCAGGGGCGCAGTCTCCCTGAGCGTGGCACACACTCCCGTGGAGGGTGTGAGGGAGGGCATCTCCCAGGAGGATGCGCTCACACTTCTGAACTCATAGTTCCCTAGGATGAGAACCAGTTAACCCCCCCCCCCCCAAGGACAGTGTGGTCTTAGTCACTCCTCTCGAGCACCTGGTGACATTTGTGTTCCAGGTGCGAGTGAGCAGGTGGGCAGAGGGACTGATGAAGACACCATCGGTTGTGACCCTGATTTTAAAGAAGCCGATGCATGAAAAAAGTGTTCATATGGAGGGACATGTCAGGGTATCTGCCATGTGGGAGAGCAAATAAAGGGATGACAGGAGGACACCTCCGCCCTTATCCATGTGTGTGTGTGTGTGTGTGTGTGTGTGTGTGTGTGTGTGGCTGCCGAGGGGCTGCGCTGGCTCCAGCTGCCTTCCAGGGCTCATCCCTCTAAGTGTGGACCTTGCCTGCTATCCTGAAGCTGACCAGCAGATGGCGAGAGTGTGACGGGAAAGACGGGGACTGCTGGTGCTGAGTGAGGCTGGGGGAGAGGGCGACAGAGAAGAGGAGGGGAGAGGAGAAACCGGGAGGGGAAGCCCCCGGGGAGAGGGCAGGGAGAGAATGGGAATGAACATTATTCTGTTTGAGCTCCCATAACACAAGCCAGACGCTGGTGGCTTAAACCACAGAACTTTGTACAGCACCGTTCTGGAGGCAGGAAGTCCAAGGTCAAGGTGCTGGCAAGGCCAGAAAGGTTTGGAGAGTATGTTGCTCCTCTTGCTGTGTGCTCACAGGGCCTTTCCTGGTGGAGAGAGATCGCTCTTCCTCTTCTTTAAAGGATGCTGGTCCAATTGAATTAGGGCCGCTCCAAATAGACACACTGTCTTCTTACCTTGGAGACGAACTTCAGTACGTGAATTTATTCAATCCCTAGGGTAGAGAGACAGGAGGAAGAGAAACGGGGGAGGCGAGGAGAGGGAGAGACAGAGGATGGGGGTGGCACCAGAGTTGGGGAAGGAAAGCTGTGGTTCTGAGTTGGGTCAGGATTCTTGGTTCAGAACCAGTTTCCCTGATAACTTAATTGTGACCTTGAGAACTCACTTCTCCCCTGGAGCTGCTCCGTCCTGAGGGTGGGTAGTGACTGCTCTGTAGAGAGAGCTCTCGGGTGTCTGCCCTGCTACCCAGACTCATGTTGGGATTCAACTGCCATCGGAACACTGTTGAGAGGTGACACCTGAGAGAGGCAGTTAGGTCATGAGGGTTCTGCCCAGGTGACTGGATTAAGGCCACCGTCTCAGGAGTGGGTTGGATATTGCAGAGGGGACCCTTCTGCCTTCCTCCACAGGGTGACACCAGATGCCAGCACCATGTTCCTGGACTTCCTAGCCTCTAGAATTGTAAGCCAAATAAGTTTCTATCATTTGTAAATTCTCCATTCTGGTATTCTGCGGTAGGAGCAGAAAATGGACAAAACTGGCCCCTCTTGAGTTCTAAGTGACAGATACAGCAACCCTGTGAAATGGGCACTAAGATTATCTCCAGTTTTTAGATTTGGAGATTTCAGATGAGGTCAGAGAAGTTAAGTGACCTGTGCAAGGTCACACAGAGGAACCCAGATCCGGGTATTCTCACCCTGTGGTCTAAGGGCAAGGCAAAATCTCTGAGAGTCACAGAAGATTCGACACAAAGGACCCCTTTTCTGAAGCCTCCACAGAACTCTAGAGAAAGGGCTGGGATGAGGACGGCCCTTGCAGTGAGCAGGAGCCCCTGAAAACTGGCCCAGAAATCTAGGGACCCAGAAAAGTGCTTCCTGGACATCTGGTGACTAAATACGGCTACCTGACTGATGCTCTTCCAGCTCAGTTTGCTGAGGTGAGGCCCAGCTAGTTCTTGTCTTCTTCTCACCGTGTGCAGCGCCCTATGCAAAGAGGAGAGTCCACTCCTCTCTCTCCGAGACACACGAGGGATGCCTAAATCTAATAAGTTAATCTAGACTCTGAGAAACAAGATTAAATTTTCAAATAAAGGCGAGCTCTGACAGCTCAGGCATAAATCTTTTATTTAAAATAGAGACGGAGCCCATCCAAATGCAATCATCGAGGACAGATGCGGAGAGAAACAAGCTCTGAAAGAATGGACACGGCAAGGATTGCTCTTGGTGACACATCACACAGGGTGACCTTAAGCTCAGCCTGAGTGTCACCAGACAGCAGGGCCTCTGCTTCCACGTCCATGCCACTTCTTGGTTGCAGGTGGTGCTGGGATCTGAAGGTGTCCCAAGGGAGCTTTTGAAGGGACACGCTTCTCATCCAAGCCATAACCCAGGGGGAAACCACACACCAACACTCACCTCTGGCTCTGCTGGGTGGGCGCTTCCGGTGTCAGATGCTGTCCATCCCCTGCCTGGCCACATTTCACCCTTGCAGCAAACCTTTGTACAGAAGGTAGGATGAGGCTCAGCAGGAGCAAGTGCCCCGGCCAAGGTCACACAGTTCATGACTGGCAGAGTTGAGATTCAGCCCCAGGCCTGCTGACTCCAGGGCCCGAGCTCCTTCTGTCTGACACTCTGGCTCGCAGACACCCAGAGATGCCAGGGACCTTGCGAAAAATACTGACACCTTGTTTATTCTAATTCAGGCAAAGAGAATAATTTCTCCTAAATACTGTCCCTTCTGGAAGCTGTTAGATGCACTGTTACCTGACCTGTTTGCAGCAGCACAAATTCAAGAGTCACTCAGGTTAACTTATAGCTCTTGAGAACAAGGATTCCAAAATGGGTAATTCGTGATCCATGTTTGGGAAAATGTTTAACAGGATATTGCAAACAAAACAACCCCCTCCCCCGTGCAAAACAGCATTTTTGTTAAATGATAGGAAA